CCACAAAAAAAAAAAAAAAAAGAAAGAAAGAAAAAAATTGGGAAAAAAAAAAAAAAGAAAATTCACTCACTATCTGTTCAATGGATTTTTTAAAACCTCCAGTATTCCTTGACAGCTAGTTTTTTAAATAAAAATGACTGGCCACCCTTATCTCATTTTAATATGACTACCTTAGATGTCATTTGCTCTCGATAATGATATTAATAAACCAATTTTGTCTTAATTAGCTTGACAATCCGGGTTAAAGTGTGTTTATAGCCTGGAGTGTCTGGATAATTGGTTCAATATGCCATTGTATTTTGTGCGCAGAGACGAAGCAATAAGCACCAACAGGAAATACTTGAAGTAAAATTATTATGGGGGAGAAGATGGCTTAAATTATAGACATAGCTTCTTGGGGAAAAGCCTGCTCTAGTTGGAGGCAGATATCAGTGTTGTTGACATGAATGGATAGGAGAAGAGGTGAAGGCACGCTGTCCACCTGTCACGTGTCAGAACTGCGCTCCCACACGGGGTGTCGGAGTTGGGCGGCTCCTCAGTAGCGATGGGCACCATCTGCCTCATAATTAAGGAAACAGGAGCAGCAATTTCCTTGCCCGAGACAAATGAGCCCCCTCAGATGCAAACATACTTCCATGCGCTTCCTTTTTAGATGCATGATTCATAGGCCAGATCCTACCTGGGACACTTCAGAGTGAAGAACCGTGATTGGAAAATCCTGGTAATCTCCGCTGGTATCAAAAATGGCTTATTAAACTGAAAACCTGTAAAAAACTGGGCATTTATCAATGTTAGAGAGAAAAGCCTGGTGAGGGGAGTTTTAGAACATTTCCGTTTTCTCTGGCCTCTCCCTCCACAATTATCTCAGTCGTTTAGAAAAGGTACTATAATATCACCTTAAAATTAAACTCTTAAGGGGTAGAAGTAGACTTTTAAAAAAAGTTGTCATAGAAAAATATCATCTGTTAATGGCAGCACAACAAGAATAGGAGGTCTGAAATTTAACCACATCCTTGAGTTGCTCAATAGCAGATGCAACACGCTGGCAACTAGGTTTCTTCTCATTTTTTAACAAAAATTACAATCAGAAAGTTATGTGTCCCACTAGAAGAAAAGAAGGTAGATTTTTCTCCCCATCACCATCTAGAAACCAAAGACAAGAAAAAAAACTAAAATTAGATGGAAAAATATATAGGACTATACTAACTGAAAGAAGTGACAAGGAGCCGTTTGCAGACAGAATCTTAAAGAAGCCACAATACATAAACTAAGTAACTGCATATAAACCCTGCCTATTTTGGGTAGGTAATGATGAATCATAATTCAAAAAAGTGATGATATATGGTGGGTATGGTGGTACACACCTATAATCCCAACAGCTGCGAGGCTGAGGCAGGCAGATCACAAGATCAGGCCCAAATTATGTAATTTAGAAATTTAGTGAAACCCTGACTCAAAATAAAAAGGAACTGAGGATATAGCTCAGTGTGAAGGCCCTGGGTTCTCAGTGTTGCACAAAAAGAAACCAGTGCCAACACATCCCAAGAATAAGGAAATTATACACACAGAAAAAGTAGTGTGCATAGACAACAGAAAGAAAAATTGAAATTTGACCTGATTGTGTTTTCACGGAGCCAAGTCTGGTTAGTGTGGTTTTACTGTATTAGTTCTCTGTGAAGTTCTTTGACCCTGTTGTAAGTCATTTGTACTTTGGCAAAAAGTGCAAATATAGTTATGCTTAAGGGAATTATTTCATAAAATTTTTAAAGTTTACACTCCTTAATATGGGTTCACTCATTCTGCACTACCCACCTGACCTCTATGCACTTACGTACAATGGATAGCCAAGGAGAGTATCTAAATCACAATTCTTAACTTCCAACACTTTCCCTCCAACTTCAGCCTCCCATACACCGAAACTATTTCTCCTCAGTCTTCTCTTACCCCAGTAAAGAATGTACATGCCCCACCTTATCACTTAACCCAGATATTCCCCTTCTGGGTATTTTTCCAGAAGAATTAAAAACATTGTACCACAGCAACATATGTGCACCCATGTTTATAGCAGCACAATTTGTCAGAGCTAAATCTTGGAAATAACTCAAATGCCTATCAACTGAGGAAAGGATAAAAAAGATGTGGTATTTTTATACAATGGAGTATTACTTAGCTATTGAAAAAAAGATAAACGAGGTTTTTAGAGGTAACTGGATGCCACTAGAGACCATACTCATAAGTGAAGTAAACTGGACCCACATGTGTAAACATCATATTGTCTTCTTAGTGTAAAAACATGAAAGAGTAAATAAAACCCCAAAGGTACAATAGATAATATGAAAGGGAAAAAAATTGCACAAAGGAACAACTAGGATGAGGGAAAGAAGAAAAAG